TGTTTATACTGGACCTCTCGGGGGCTCTCTCCGGGCTCCTTGCCGCCCTCCGCCTATATGGGGGCATTTGCGGGGGGGCCTGGAGAGATACCCGGGCGGGGAGTCCCTGTGGGGACTTATGGCCTAGTATCCTCAAGTCATATCCCTATGCCATGTTTTATGCCGATTTCCTTGAGAGCATTCATTCTAGCTCAGTGGTTCTCAACCTGTGGGTCGGGACCCCCGCGGGGGTCAAATTACAATTTGCCAGGGGTCGCCTAGTGGCTCTCGGCCGCCGGGAGATAAACACTTTCTCCCGGAAAGGTCGGGACCTTTCTCTGCTCTGTTTTTTTTTTTAGCCAATCACTATCAGTGACAGTACTGCGGAGTATGTACCTCATATGTTATATAGCCACACACTTTAAATCCAATCCTTCTAGTTCCAGCTGCAGAGCCCAGTCCCGTCTTGGCCTATAGCAGTGGTTCTCAACCTGTGGGTCGCTGTGCAAGGTGAGAGTCCTCCTCAGCTCTCTTCTAGCGCAGCAGTGTCAGTTCTCCTGCCACGCCTCCAGATGTCGCTGCAGCAGCCGCGTCATCCCTAAATTTTACCTTTGGGGGTCTGCAAGGTTTGATTGGGAGGCGGGCGCCCTCCTCTCCCGGCGAGGGGCAATCCCGTGGAGCTTTCGGGTGTGGGTTGGCCACCCTTCCCCGACTACACATGATACTCTGACAGACATGTATATATTTTGTATGTTTAAACTGCTCAGGTGCCAATCATTTACCTGTATTTACTCTCAACTGAAGCTGTGAACCCGGAGCTGGTTGGGACTTAACCTCTCCGAGACCCATTGCCAAGCCTATTCGTTTTTCGTTTTTGTTTTTCCCCCCTTAGGCCAGGCAATCCCTGGACCCCACGGTCTGGAGTTTTTGCCACTGAGGGTTAGACCTCCCATAGACAACCCCCTGTTCTGCTGATCTAGCAGGCTTTGCCCAACCCCTGTTGCCTTCCCCTCCCACATTCTCCTCCCGTCCCCTCTCTGCTTCATCCTCTTCTTCTTTCCTTTCTTCTCTCTCATACCTCCCCCCTCTCTCTTTCTCTTCTCTCTTCCCCTCCGCCTCTCTTCCTCATCCCTCCTGGTCGCCCTATACTACTGTCCTCCATTCACTTACTGCTCCCTCTAATCGCCAGGACATGGAGGAGCTGAAGCTGGTCACCATTAATGCCAAGGGCCTTAATACCCCTGAAAAAAGGAAAACGCTGCTGCACGACCTCGGGAGATGGGGATCCCATTTGGCTTTCATACAGGAGACCCACTTTAGAGCTGACGCTACTTCTTCGCTTAAAGATTTCCGTTACCCATTCTCCTACCACTCTTGCAACGAGTCTTCCAAATCCAGAGGGGTTTCTATAGTGCTTTCTAGACAGGTACCTTGGACGTTCACGGACTGTCAGACAGATGCTGAGTGACGGTATTTGCTTTTGAAGGGCAAAATTGGTCTCAAGGCGGTCATGTTCGCAGCAATCTCTCCCTTCTGACCTTGCTCCTCAGGGCACCTTACAAGGTAAGATCGCCTCTTACCTATCCTCGAGCGCTCTGTCCTCTCTGGCTGCACAGGGTAGGGAGGCTCCCATAACCTCGGATGAATTCAGCGCGGCTCTCAAAGCCACCAAGACAGGGAAGTAACCGGGCCTGATGGCTTCACGACCCACTATTATAAGGTTTTGTCCGCAGATCTGGCAGGCCGCTTTACGAACGCATTCAATGCCCTGTCCTCTTCTTCGCGGCTTACTCGAGACTCTCTCTCTGCTCATATCTCAGTTATCCCAAAAGAAGGCAAGGATCCCTCTTCTTGTGGCAGTTACCGCCCTATATCTCTCCTAAACACCGACCTGAAGCTATTTACCAAAATATTGGCGACTAGACTGAGCCCCCACATGCCTGCCTTGATACACTATGACCAAGTTGGGTTCATTCCAGCAAGGGAAGCTCGTGATAACACCATTAAGACCTGTCATCTTGTCCATTACGCGGCGAGATCCAAACTGCCTTGTCTCTTCCTCTCTACCGATGCTGAAAAGGCCTTTGATCGGGTCTCATGGGACTTCATGTTTGCTACTCTGAAGCACATTGGTCTGGGAGAACACATGTTATCCTGGATTTCAGCGGTGTACTCCATCCCAACAGCATGTGCCAAGGTGAATGGCGTTCAGACCCTTTTCCAATCACGAATGGCACCAGGCAGGGCTGCCCCCTTTCACCACTCCTATTCGCCCTCTCTCTGGAGTCATTCTTGGGCCACATTAGGTCCAATGTGGACGTGACTGGGGTTAAAATGGGATCAAAGGAGTACAAAGTATCTGCCTATGCGGATGACATGATGTTCTCTCTGACCAACCCGGTAATCTCCCTACCTAATCTTATGCTGAAATTTGCGGTGTATGGTGAGCTGTCCAACCTGAAGATCAACTTCAGCAAATCCACTGCCATGGGAATCTCTCTCCCACCTCTGCTCACTCGCTCTCTGCAGAATAATTTTCATTTCCAGTGGACAACCCGAGCGCTGAAATACCTGGGCACGTTCGTACCTCCGGACGTGAAAGATATCTTCACTTACAATTTCCCACCTCTTCTGGCACAGGTACGCGTGCTACTCTCCAACTGGCAGAAGGGCTTCTTTTCCTGGTTTAGGCGGTGCAACGCTATCAAAATTACTATTTTGCCTAAATTTCTGTATCTCTTTCAAGCACTTCCCATAGCGATCCCGGATAGGTACTTTCGGCAGGTTACCTCATTACTGATGAAATTTGTATGGGCTAACCGCCACCCTCGCTTGAGCCACTCCCTCCTGACTTTACCCAAAGACTCGGGGGGTCTAGCCCTTCCTGATTTACGAAAATACTATATAGCTAGCCATTTGGTTCGCTTAGTTGACTGGTGCAGACATTCCTCTACCAAACAATGGGTGCCCTTGGAGCAATCCATGTCGCCCTATCTCCTGCCTATGATGGCATGGTGTCCCTCGACTCTTCCCCCCTCGCTTAAGGCCCACCCCCTGATCGGGGCGACTCTGGCAGTAAGCTCAAAGGCACTTAACAGGTGTCGTCTGATTTCCGAGGCTTCCCCGCTTTACCCAATTATGGGTAACCCGGCCTTTCCGCCAGTTAACTTGTCTGGTCCTTTCCGACTCTTGCTCGCCAAAAACCTGTTTCAAGCATCTCATTTTCTAAGCAGAGGTACATGGCCCTCCATGCAAACCCTTACTGATGCCGACGGAGTCTTTGGCTTAGATCAATGGAAAGCTTACCAACTGAGACACTTCTTACTTACCTTACCGCCAGCGGCATGTTTTGGAAATACGCCTTTTGAAAGATTATGCGATTCTAGGGGACCGACGCGACATACTCTATCAGAGATCTATGCTACCCTTTCAGCACCAACTGACCTCGGGAAACCTGCGTTTCTGACGCACTGGGAACGAGACCTAGGGATCACCCTCTCAGAAGCCCAATGTCGGGAATATCCTTATCCTTAAGATCCTTATGAGATGGTATCGCACACCGGGGCTCTTACACAAAATATATGGTGGAGTTGCCGATGTCTGCCGGAGATGTAACGCAGATGGGGTACTCTACTTTATGTTTTTTGGCCTTGCCCTGCCTTAGCACAATTCTGGTCTACGGTCTGTGACATTGTAAAGAAGTTTCTGGAATCTGACCTCCCGTTGGACCCCTCAATCTTCCTGCTACACAACATTCCAATGTCCAGGAAAGCTTACTCCCAATCTGTGGTGCGCCACTTGCTGGATGCGGCTAAATCCTGCATCCCGAGCCTCTGGAGAAACACCTCCTCCCCTGCAATTTCTATGTGTGTGCGCCGGGTGGAGGAGATTAGTGTAATGGAGGACATGGTTCTTTCCTCCCAGGGCAGGCAGGAGCGTTACTCAAAGACGTGGTTCTACTGGCTGGAGTACATGGCATACTCTGTACGATCTGTCCCCCTTACACAACCATCGAGGGAATACCCCGTGAGTGGCCCTTTCAACAGGCTCTACCATGTCCCGGCAATCTCTACCTTCCCTTCCATGCCCCCTTGCTGGCGATGCCTTCCCTTCTTTTTGTCTGTCTACCCCTTCCCTCCTCCCTATTTTGTCCCCAAGTGGTTATTTGCCCTACCTCACTCCTCAGTCTACGGAAGCAGACTGGTGGACCCCTAGGCTTCCCCACCCCTGCCTATCAAACTTATTGCCTATTGTACTTCAGGACCTGTATGATCTACATTGCAATCACCCCAGAACGCCCAGACGCCACATATGATGTTGTACTGTTAATGTTAACTATTTGGTTACTTCAGCGAATGGGGCTGGAAGATGTTGATATACATTTGCAGTTTGTACCTGTACGTTCTAATGGCTCAACTGTTTATGTGTTGTATGTATATTGTAAAACGTTGGCTCAAAATAAAAAACGAAAGAATTAAAAAAAAATATATATATATATTTTAAAAATGTAAATACATTGTAAAATTAAAAAAGAAATAAAGATATTTAAAAAAAAGAAAAAGAACAATTGGGCGGAGTTAGCAGTGACAGCTATCTCTGCCCAACTGTGTCCTATTGACCGTCACCTGCTAGAGTCTTCTAGCAGGTCCTGGCCAATGAATAACAACTGGGCGTAGCTGGCCATGACATCAAAGCCGGCTCCGCCCAGTTATTATTGTTTAATGACAAATCAGCGTCCCCAAGTCATTTGGGGACGTGGGGCTGTAATTACAACTGGGCAGAGCCAGCTGTGAGATCATGGCTGGCTCCACCCAGCTGTCATTTGCGCGGAGAACGGCCAGCCTTTGGCAGGCTGTTCGCCCCGCTTCAGCTGTCAATTCAGCTCAGTTGAGCCGAAGCATATGCATCGGCCACCTTCTTCTGCTGTGTAGACTTTTTTTTTTTTACATTGTTTGAAATCTAAATGATTGTCTGAAATCTAATAAATATATACTTTTTTTAGCATGGAGTATAATACTTGCCTTTGAAACAGGGACAAATCTTCCACACAGTGGCTGCACCTTCTCTGTTGTATTGTCCAAGAGCCAATTCCATATAGAACAATGGCATTCCAGCAATGATAAGGAACAGTGTATATGGAATAAGAAAAGCACCTAGGAGAAAAACATAAAATACATAATGTTATGTTCTCAGACAGGGTTATAAAATACATAATTTCAGACATCAGATGTATTATAGACATGAAAGCCACATTTTTACAGCTACAAAAACAAACAATATCAATTAGGGATGCACTGATACCAAGTACAGTACTCGGTACAAGTACAAGTACGAATACTTTTCGAGCTCCAAGAAAAGTATTCTTGGAGCTCGAAAGGGAAAAAGGGGAAAAAGGGATTTGTACAAATCCTGGGATTTGTACATCTCTGTTTTAATGTATGATTTTATTTTTATAAATATAAATAAAGGGATGCACCGATACCAGTTTTGCGATTACAAGTACTGTTACTTGCCCAAGTACTTACAAGTACAAGTACTGATACATTTTTGTTTATTGTCATGTGACAGTTTTTCTAAAAGAATACAGACTAACGATTTCAGGACAGTGGTGGAGCACCAGAGCCAGGCTTAGGACATGTTTACACCACATTGCATGCTACAATGTGTGTGTGCTGATGTGCATTGTCTAGGGGCAGTGTTAGAACACATCACTTTTGTTTACTTTTTCTTTTTAAACTTTATTGAAGTGTCACAAAATTACACTTTATTTAACTCTATACACCACAGCGTGTTGCAGTGCGCTGCGGCACAGTGCAGTGACATGCTGTGCAGTAAGTTGCTGCAAAAATGCATATATTCTGAATTTTGCACAGTGCGCACCACATCTCATGTATAGTGTGAACATGTGATAGGGACATGGAATTGTTTTCTATGTGCCCTTGCATTGAGCTTGCAGTGATCTATGTAGATCAATGCAGCTCAAAGGACTTGGTGTCAGAAAATGACATGACAGACAAATATCCAGAAAATGTGAAAATTTCAGATATGGCCCTTAATTTAAAAAGGTAGCACATTGACACATGTAGATTAGCAAGACATTTTGACAATAAAGGAACAGAAATCACTCTTTAAAGTTGTTAAAGACGGATGTTAAATATATGAAACAGTTTTGTTTAGGCAATAAGAATAAAATGGTTCTATAATCAACCCAGAATATATGGGGCAGGAAATTGTATAATCTCAAATCTTGATTAACTTTACTGTTCCAGACAATGTTTTAGAGTAAGAGGATTCAGGAGAATTCAGCCGCCAAGGAGAGAAACCCCGCTGTGTCTTTTTTCTTTATTCTGACACGAGCATGTCAGAATAGAGAAAAAAAAAAAAAGTCCCATTCAAAAGCATTGGGACATTACTATTGGCTATTTCTATTGCAATAGCCAATAGTAAACTAGCATTGTACCCGCCCTCTTTTGCAGTCAATTGCCGATAGTTATCTCTCTTTTTTTTTTCCCTCCACCTGCTGCTCCCCCCGGCATAAGAAAATCCGACGTACCTGTGACATGTAAATATGTGATGATAACAGGCGTCCCGGTTCAGGGCGAATCGGAACCGGAAGTCACCACTGGGGTTTTTATATTTTACTATATTAAGGAAAAATTATTGAAATTTTTGGGAAAAAAAGTTTTTTCCCCCCATTATGTTCCATTATTACCCATATTTTTGGTAAAATATAAAAGACAGGGTCACGTCGGGTAAATAGACACCAAACAGGTCATGCTTGAAAATTGCGCGCACCCGCGAAATCGCAAAAAACTACCATACCCGAAATTGACCATAGGTGACACTTTAAAAGCTTTTACAGCTCATCAGTTTAGTGTTATCAGTGATTGATGGCCCTAGAACGATTGCTCTCATTCCGACGTTCGCGACGATATGTCACATGTGCGGCGTAATGGGCGAAATCGTCGTTTTTGCACGTATGCGCACCCGATGCCTGTTTGCATGCGTGTATGTATGGGGGGGACTTTATTAAAAAAATGTATTCTTTTTTTTATTTGTAACTTTACATTTTTTGGGGGGGACTTACATTTTTTTTCCTATTTTTTTTCACTTAACTTTATTGCGATCACATAGGGGGGTTAGAAAACCCCCTTATGTGATAGCAAAATATGTGACAGGTCCTCTTTATGGAGACATCAAGGGTCTCCAAGACCCCCAATGTCACCTAGGACCCCCCTTAAGAAGCTGATGAAGCAGAGATCTGCTGCATCAGCTTCTCTCCAGCATCGGAAGCTGGAGAGTGACACAAGAATGCCGGCGGATCGCTTGTATATTAACGGGCATCGCTGCCTGTTTCCAAACAACGGGCATCTCCCGCTCGCACGTGCCCAGCGGCGTGCACGAGGGAGCGTGGCTGAGCGAACGTCTAAAGACGCCCGCTCAGATCTAGATAGCTCCTGGCCGGCCGGGAAGTGGTTAATGAATGTGGTAAAAATTCACTTTGCAAAGAATACCCAATTACGCACAAGAAAAAAACAAACAAGTGTTTTTGCTTGCACATGATTGCATGATGGATGTCTGCAGAGCTTCACCTCATTCAAATATTTCTAAACTTAAAAAATGTAAGCACCGACTTTAGATTGAAATGGGAAGCGAATTTAAACATCTGCTCTTAAAATATGATAGGTATATTGATTAAGGAATATAACAAGAAATTAAATTGATAGATGATAATATCCAGTTAATGCAGAATGCAAGTCTGTCTTCCCACAAACTATTTGGAGAAAAGGACAGAGTTAAAAGTATATCTGGACAAGTTTAATAATAATATTATTAGTAAAATTAGATAAAATGGCATTCTGCAGTGCACAGCCTGATAAATAGAACTATCTGTATCAAAATACATTTCATAAATCAAGATATAAAAACAGACAATTTATAGATGAAGAAAAAAATCTTTCCGATGCTTCTTCTCATTTCTCCTCTTTTATTCTTTCACAGTTTGCACAAAGAGACAAATATGTCCTAGACCATTTAATTCTAACAATACCAAATTTTTGAGTTGTGAACATGGTACTATGAAAAACAATACTATGACCCGTGGAGTGGGCTCTTTAGATATTCAAGCACATAGCTGTCATTTATAGACAGGATTACAGGGAATTGGTGAATGGGGACAGCATGGACTGGGATGTACTGACTCTGAGGTACCAATAAAGGATTTAAGAAAGAAATACAAAATCCATTCCCATCATTACATACAAATCCTAACATTTCTGTCTTCCTCCAACAAACAGTCGCTCACATAGAGAAAGTATCTGATACCACTGCAAAGCAATATTTTCTTACTAAAATTCCAACAAATTTTTTAATCAAGTCCAGGCCCCTTAGACACTTGCAAAATAATGACCGTATTGTTACTAAACCCAAGGGGGGGGGCAACATTGTAACTATAAATGATGAACAATATGAAATAAGGTGCCTTAATATTAAAAAAATAGGCATTGTATAAAACATTTCTAATGCTACAGTTGAAATGTTCAACAAACACTACGGCCTACAAATCCGTTTTAATTCCTAAACACACATGGGAGTTTTTACGAGTGTCCGCATCTTATGCTCTACCAAAGACGCAAAAGCAACATAACATGCCCCCCTCCCAATAGACCCATTATTTCAGAGGTAGGCAGTCTGGCTAAGAATGCCAGCAATACTGTGGCTGCCCATTTTAGACCCCACATCTTAAACTTGCCCTCATACACCAAGGAAACTATTTATCTATTACAATTAATTGAAGGGATGTATATAACATAGGAAGCCTGGTTAGTAGCAAAAGACAAAGAGGATCTATATAGCAGCCTTCCACATGGAAAGGCCCTAGAAATGGTTATAGCATTTGTGTACCAGAGAGGTCAGGACCAATTGAGTCTCAGTAAATTTGTCTTATTACAACTGGACTTATTTTTAATGCATAATCATTTTATCTACAGTGGCCTCCACTACCGCCAGGTGTAGGGCAAAGTGATAGGCACTTGCTGTGCCCCATCCTATGCCAAACTGAATTGGGGTGGGAGCACCATATTTTCTCCAGTGAAGCCTTGCCTTTTTTCCTGTGTCATGTATTATCATGGTACAGGTACAATGTTTTCATGATATGGGATGGCAGTCTAGAGAATTTAAGATACTTTGTTGATTGTTTAAATTCTAATGTATTTATTTTGAAATTCGCCATAAACTGTAGTCAAAAAGGTGTTCCCTTTTTAAATATTCTAATTTATGTATGGGATGTTAATATTCTAGCGAGTAATTTATATTGCAAGCTCATAGAAGGAAATACAATTTTGCATGCCGGCAGTGTGAATCGGATTACTCTGATCAAAAGCATTCCATACAATCAACATTTGTGACCAAAAAGGAATTGCACAGACAACAAAGATTTCTATAATGAGGCTAACATATTAAACGAAAGATTAGTACAAAGAGGTTTTATTAAAAAAAAAAAGTGCTTAAAAAGCATTTAACAAAGCTAAGAAGCAATCTAGAGGGTCTCTCTAATCTTTAGTAAAAAAAACAGAAAACAAAGAAGTCAATTCAATGAATATAAGGGTCAATCAAAAAGTAATGCCTCCATGTCTGTAATTTGAAATCTTTTAGAGTGACTGTGAATGTTCATCTACCATGTTATAGAGGTGTCCTTACCCCACTAATGTATGCTTTTCTTTTTCAGATCGAGTGATTAGAATCACGGATCTGTGGCTAAAACAATGAGCTGTAATTGACTTCCTGGCAAAAGAGGATTGCGCACCTAAGGAAATCCATAATCTGCTAAAGAATGTTTATGGGTATGCTGTAGTGGAATTTCAATTTCTCCTTCAAAATGTTTCACCCAGTGCTGCACATTGCTGATGTCCACTGCATCATCACTGTAGAGGACAATCAGCAATGTGATCCTTGCAATCGAATGTTGTAAATATTGTAAATGTATAAGAGTGATCAAAGTGATGTCTGATTATCTGATGGTAATAATTTAATGACAAAGCATTATGTAGATTGTAAAACAGCAGGGGTGATGTATCTAACATTATGTGGCTCTTTTTTGTTGGGATAACTAAACAGCTTTTTTAGAAGCATATATATGATTATATATTTAATA